CAAAACCCCAAAACCCCAAAACCCCAAAACCCCAAAACCCCAAAACCCCGAGAAGAAGAATATATCAATAACAAGAATCAAAATCAATTTAGAGCAATTAATCTTCATTAGACTAGTTTAAGGTTTAATATTAATAAGTAGTTAAATGTTTGAATGATGAACGCGATCTGATCAATTGGGTTTTTACACTATTTTCTAGGAATAGGGAGACATGTAGTTTTTCTTATTATTGTTGTTGTTAGCTACACCTTGCATTACAACTCCGGCAGCTACTCCCCCTGGTGCAGGTTATTTCATAGTTCCCACGAATTTCTTTCCTGATATTGATTGATTGGAGTTGTTGTGCTTCATTGTCTGCCTGAATTCAGCTGGTATGCTTCCTCCTTGTATTCCGAGGCCACTCACTACCCCAGGCTTAGCTTATGGATTTTTCTTTATATTCTTTACATAGTTATCATTTACGTTGGTTCCTGGACCATTATTCTGGATCTTTTTAATGGGTGGGAATTACATCTAAACTTTAATGTTAAATTGACTGATGAGCATATTTAATAAGTTATTTGAAATCAATCTATCAAAGTAAAACTTACATTATCCTCATCTGATGAGAAGGTATTATTTGAGTTTCGTCCTTCTCCGCTGATCATTAATTTAAGTTCAGGGAACTTCTTGTTGCTAGGAAGCACCTTTTTCTTGTCAACTCTCTTGTTCTGCTTCTTTTAAAAGCTCTTGTTATTGAAACTCTGATCGCCGGCCTCGCTTACATTGTCGGAATTTCTTCTCGAATATTAAGATAAATTATCCTACAGGTTAGAAGATACGGACTTGGCGAAGCCTTGCGGACCAGCAGTTATTTGACTCATTTGATGTTAATCTGCGTCTCGTAGATCCTTAAAGTAGGGATGCTTCAGAAGCTGTGAGGCAGTATAACGATCATCAGCATTATATATAATCATTTTCATAATAACATCCTGGGCTTCCGAACTGACATGAGGCACAAGCTTCTAGATTCCCACAAATTTCTTAGGCTAAAAATTAAACTCCATATGTGTGGCATGTCTATTTTAAATTAGTAAATATCTAATTAGTCCTCATAGTAATATTATCAATACTGTATTGTTGGGTTTAAATTACTTACTTTTAAAAATTATCTAAGATTTCCTGACCTGGCGTTCCCATAATGTTATGAATTTTATTGATTTGGTCGAGCTCATTGTTGCCTGGGAAGAGAGGGAAAAGAGAAAGGATCTCAAAAAACACACATCCTGCTCCCCATATATCCATTTTGTAACCATAGTAACCGTCTGTCAGCAGGCACTCTGGAGCACGATACCATCTGGTTGAGATATATTCAGTGAAGGGTGGCTTTGAATATAAACCTCTACAAGATCCAAGATCTGCCAATTTAACTGTATCTCCCATAATGAGAATGTTTTCACTATTAAAGTTTAAGATATCTATGATCGGGTTGAAGAGATGGGTAATTAAGAATCAGATAAAAAATTAAATCTCAGATGGTATCCAATTCTTGTAATAAACCTATAAAATTACTTACGGTTTGATATCTCTGTGGAAGATGCCATTTCTATGCATGTGTTCAACTGCTTTGAATAATTAGTACATGTAATTCTTTACTCTAGCTTCTGCTAGATAGTTTTATCTTCCTAATAATAAATTTAATTGAGATGAAGGACGAGTATTTTAGTACCTTTTATTGCTTCATACAGATTCATCTCCATCAGTTCAAAAACTAAAGCAAGTCTACCTGTTGGCTCATCACTATATTATTATTGTATCCTTTATTAACTTACTAAAGAACCTCAATCAACTAAATGATATGTGGATGAGGTGAGAGCCTTTAAAGAGCTTTGATTTCTCTCAAATTTTAGACCTAAAGTAAAATATTTAATTCTATTCTTGAAACAGGCATGTGAATATCAGTAGATGAACTGTCATAAATTACCTGCTCAATCGAGTCAAAATGTGACTTCATGCATTTAATTGCCACATACTGGTTGGTGGCAACGGACTATGCCTTGAGGACCTCAGAGAAAGTACCTTCTCCTAATTTTCTAATTAGTCTGTATTCTATAGTTGGAAATTAATTTTGTTTTCAAAGTACTGTGCATTTCTACGCTTTAGAATAATTCTAATTTATTAATTTAATTACTTATCATAATTTAAGAAAGCCTATCTTTTGGGGTTTTGGGGTTTTGGGGTTTTGGGG